ACAGCATGCTAACTGGAATGACCTGGGTCATCATGATTCATTTCACAATATACAGAAATCGTTTCTCTCCAGTATACGTCTGCCACCAACAAAGCTGGTGTGAGAACATGGGTAACATCATGGTACGTCTTAAAGGCTTGCAAGCTTCTTCAGATCGAACCATCTACTTTGGTCAAAGAAAATGCAGTTCAATCCAAATGACCTCTTTCTTTCTAAACTTGAAGGGGGCTCTTTGTCATGCTTGGAAAAACCGATCGCATCACCGATGGCCTTCCGACTAGTCATTCATGACTTGTGGCCTTCCGTGATGGCTTTTTGGGGCCTCGGGATGAAGCGAAACGAAACGGGAAACGACTTCTCACCATGACGAGAACTCGTCGCTCGTGGAGGCCCTGACTATCCATCCGTGGCCCACACCCCGTCCTGACTCACAAAGCAAGGGAAATAGGCATTTTGCACCCCCAGATCTTTGATCCCAGCATCTAGCCTGATCCGGATGAAAACCGGGGCACAAACGTCCCAGGCTGGATGCTTCACAGAAGTCTTGTAATACATGTTTTGTTAGACATGTAACTTCAGCATGTCTAAGACATGCTCCGGAAAACGGCTATAGGGTGCTATAATGTGCTATAGGTGTTTTCTGTCTTGTTTTCTTCCTCAGGGCTCGGGGCATGCGAGAGATTTCTTCCCAAATGAAGAAGGACCAGGGCCGCAAGACGTAGCACCTGCTCGCACCGGACACACCGGAGAGTCGGTGGTCTAAAGGTTCCTGGTTTGGGGGTTTTAAGATGGTCCAGGACCTTGGTCCACCTGCGGGTCTGCATTCTTCAAATCTAGAGTCTAGTATGTTGAGAGCAAATGGCACATAATGGCGCCAAGCCTACAAGAATAGATCAAGATATCAAGACTAAGATCCATGAGATAGAAGCCACCTCTCAGGGCTCCGACACCACTGTCCCTTTCAAAAACAAGCTCTGAGTTCACGGCACCCACTGATGTCGTGGTACTCGATCATCTCACCACGCGTGATCACCTACCCAACCCACCACCACCACCGTCGCAGGTTCCACACCGAATCCGCTCCGAGGCCTATCAGGACCCGCAGACCCTCCGCTCGAGCACTGCGAACAGTTCCGTGCGGCGGACCATTCCCGGGCGGATCCCGGCGTTCGCGCGGCGCTCTTCGTCCACTCGGCGCTCTTCGGGACGCGGGAAGTCTTCATCGCGGCCTGCGTGTACCACGTGGCGAAGTCCGTGGCTTTGGACGCGGAGACGCCTTTCGTGTCCTGCGCGGAACGACCGCCTCGTCCGGCGGTGGGAGACGGGAGACCTCCCGACCTTCGGATTGGCTCGAGGACCTGAAGTAGGACCACCTGGCCGGCTTGGCTTTCTTGGAGTGTTGGGAAGTCTGCATGTGGTGAATTGATATAGTTCGAGCTAAAAATGCAGAGTAACAGAAACCAAAATAAGCAAGCAATAAAAGGAACGGAAAAGGTGCACCGGCAACGCACTCTTGGAACAAAAGACGCTGGCCTTTGGAGCCTTTTGCCTGCGGAGAAAGCAACGATTTCTGAAATGAAACTCATGCCTCGCGATCAGACACACGTGCCTCGCTGCTGCATCTTCTTGCGATTCCCGATCCTCGAAAACTGACAGACTAACAGATCTAAAAGCTGACTCTGCCAGCACTCTCAGGCTGCTGCCTGCTGGGCATTTGGCAAATCGGATCCTCATGGTTCACATCAGTCAAGATCAACTCCTCTTTCCTAGTGATCAAATATACCAGCTGATTCAGACCAATGACTAGTCAAAGAAGTCTCACTCACCACTCAAGCACAGCTGTGTTCAGACCAAGTCCTGCAGTATCTGCTGACCTCAAAGCAGCGGTCTGTCTTGGGAAAAATCCGTACGGTGCCCAGTAGATCCATCACTGGATCGCTCCCGTCCGTTGCTTGACTGAAAAAGAACACAGCAGATCTGATTGTTTCTGATCCTGGATGTACTCATAGAGTACTTTTTCCAGGATCCTCTGTCATCCATTTCTGGCCATGGGTGTAAATCACATACACTGGAGTGAGCTCGCTGAACTCTTTTTCATGCAAGCGCATCAATCAACCTTCTCATCTTTCTCAGCTGTTGCTTCGCCAGTGCCGGTCGTCCCACTGGCACAAGAACGCGCAGTCAAACGGTGGACAGGAATGATGCACTTGAAAACTCAACAGAACCCGATTGTCTCAATATGAGTTGATGTTCTACGGTTTTTGCATATACATTCCTCAAAATCAATGGAAGGAACGACCTTGTCATGTCTACAAAATCAATGGTCCTATACATCCCTATACCTGACAAACAACCGCAGTTTTGCCAGCGTTCTTTGCTGTTCACCCCACCTCCAGCTCACGCACCCCCAAATGGCTGCTGCGAAGAGCATGCCAAGACCAAATCCAATGGCCTCATTGGAAGGAGTCTCTGAAAAAAAAAGAATTGAGAGCGAAACCTGGGGAAACAGCGAACCCGGTTCCAAAGCACCGATCCAAACACCTCCTCCGTTTCGGTGCTTTGGTGTACTGCGCTGCGCGCAGCGCGTCCAATTCGGATGTACTTGACAATCAAATTGCTTTTTGGGGCCCCCACCAGGTTTTTGGTCTCTCTCAACCAAACATGTGGGGCTCGGACCAAATGGAGGTAGCTCGCACCCTGCCGCTCCGCCACATCTCCTGCAAGCAAAACATGCTTTTTGAGCGTGCAAAATGCTGGGTCCTGAGTGTTTCAAAAATGAGTCCCTAATTGGTTGCTGTGTGTTTTCCTGCCGGGGTCCCTCGTTTTGAGCCATACGGAAACTTGTTTGGAAGTTAAACGGCGTCTGATACCAAGTGAGTTCAGCTGGGCAGGGTTGGTAACAGTGAAGTTAAGTTTCTCCTGAGTGGATCTCCGTGGCCATTGTCGGTAAAGTGAAGTAGTATCGTGTCAGTCAAAGCCAAAACTCGACATCCCTGCCAGCAGTACATACACTCTGTTGATCTTCCGGTCACACAATCACACGGATGGCATCAATCGAATCCTCAAAAATCCTCTGCACCTGCACTTGAATCTGTACAATTTGTTGTGAATCTGCTGAATTCCTTTTCTGAATGCCCATGACTTAAAACTTACCATAACGATAAGTGATAAGATGTGATAAGTGTTTCAAAAAAAACAACTAGTAGTAGATATGTAATGATAATAATGACCCCCATCGCCCACCACTTGATCTGCACTCCTCGCTCCCGCGCACCGGGCGGGGCGTGGGGTTGCGCACCCGGCGAAGCATGGGGCGGGGCCCCACCGGGCAGCGCGGGCAGCGGCGCGCCGCTGCCGGAGGCGAAGCCGCCCAGTGCGAAGGCCTGGCGAAGACCAGGTCCAGAGCTAAGATGGATACTTCTAGGTTGGATGGTCATCGCGCTTACGGCTATCGCATAGTAGGTTAGATGGAGTACGCGACTCGCTGGTGGTGCAGTCTCGGTGTCGGGACTCGTTCTGACCGCTTCGCGTTTCAAGGCGCCACTCCGGGCCTTGAAATCATCCACCTCGCGATCACCATGAAAATCGTAGACTCGATCACCTGCACCAGGGAAAGTCGCTGAAAATCGCTCGACTTGACGAAAGCAAAGCCAATTGGTGAACGCATTTCGTGGCAAGCATGACGAAACAACCCACCTGTGAATCCTCTTGAACCCGCTGTTTCACCCATCCTCCGAACCCTCTAGAGTGTCAATCATCTGCCAATGTCATCTCATGCTCTTTAACTTTCTTTGCCTTTTGCATCTCTTCCCACAACATCTCACCATCGTCACAAGTTTCATCCCATGCCTCACCGCAGCAACCTGCTACCACCCCACATCTCACCAGCCACCCACCATCACCTCCCATCCATTCCCATCCCACCGGCCTGAGCCCCCCACCTGCCCCAACCCAACCAAGCCACCCACCACCTGCACCACCACCTGCCCCAACCCAACCGGCGCGTCGTCGAGGAGATGGAGGCCTTTCACCAGTTTGATGCTCGGGAAACGTTCCACGCCCCACAGCTCTGTGAGCGGTCTCCACTGCAGCGCATCGAGGCTCGCCACCTGAACCTGGCAGCACCCAAAGGGGTGGAGGGCAACCCGAAAAATGGTGCGAAATAGAGAGTTGTTGACTCAAGGCAACACAACAAAATGATGTGAAGCGATTTCAGGAGTTAGTATGGTCAAAAAATCCCTAGGTCTGCCTGTAAAATGACCTATATATATATATGCATACATACCCAGACGACCATTCTGGGGTTGCTTCTCCTGATTCTTCTGCAAAACGCCAAAAGTTTGTGATGTCGGGATTGACTCACCCTTTTTTCTTCAGATTTTGTGGGTTGGGAACTCCATGGTGCTTTGCCATGACTCCAAGAAAAGCCTTGATGTGTCTGGATTGCAAGGGAAAATGGACATGTGCGGCCTGGCGACTCGGTTTGGGGAGACCTCTGAACCGTTCAGAGTGAGTATTTCATTCATGTTGGTCTCTGGTGGAAGACCTCTACTCGGTGACCGAAACAGTGGCAGAGGCCCACCATCCCCGACATTCAGATCCCACCACCAGCGCCAGCGAAGAAATCCGCCAATGCAACTGTGGCGCTTGGTCTTTGAGCTCTGTGGCTAAAGCTCCCCATTCTTGCTCCATGCTCCTGAGCTACTAGTAACAAGGGCATCGCTACTAGTAGCAAGTGCATCACAAGAAGCTACTAGTCGCTGGAAAACTTCAAGAACTGAAGTGCTATTTGACCAACTCCCCAAGTTTCATTTTGGTTGGTTTTCAGGTATTGTCCTTAAGAGCAAACAATGCATGTCAAAGCCAACAGCCCGGCCCTCAGCGCTCCCACCATAGTACCTAGCCCTTGCACGACAAGGAATGAGAGTCCCAGCCTGCAATGTCCGCAGCCGCGCAGAAAGAATACAATGAACCTCAGCTGTGCTCTGTCTACTTCTGTTGAGGGCATTGTCAATCAATCACAATCAAGAGCTCACACAATGGTCACACACCAAAAGCGCTCAACATCTGCTTTCAGTTCCATCAATGTCTTGCTATTCCTGGGCCAGCCGGCACCGGTAGTGGAGAAGATCTCACCAGTTCCTCCATATCGCCTGCAGCGGAGAAGAGTGAGCATTCTGTTCTAGATGGACATAGCTCTGAGTCTAAGAATGACTGGAAAGGCTTCTTGCCAATTTCAAGAAAAGATCGGGGCTCCAGTCGAGGCCTCTTCGGCTTCTAACCTCTATGTACATCCACAAGAACAAGGGACTCGCATGCATCATGCCCCAAAATTCATGTCTCCCAAAACTGATGGCGTTTTCGCGTCCCCAAGTCCATCCCCACTCAATCCTAAGCAACAAATTAATAGTGTTTGACAATCTCATACCATCTCTCATGATTGCTTTCACCCCCGTTTCGCCTTGCCTCCAAGGCTCAAAACATCCGCTCCACCAAAAGGCTGAGATCCTCAGCAAAGTTGGCACCAGCCATAGGGCCATACCCAACACAACTCCTGTGGGCCAAAAGCCTGGGCCTCTAGACCAAATTCATCCCATTGCCGTCGGTCTCGGATCCCCACCTTCTGAGCTCCCTTTCGCCTCAACAGCGCGGGCACAGCGCGGATCAGCTCCCTTTCGCCTCGTCCCCCAGCGAAGGCTCGAGATCTCTCGCGATCCGACCCCCCCTTTTTGCCGAACCCACGGGTCCGACGGGTCGCTTCCTGCGTCGCTTCTGGAGTCCGAGTCCCGCCGTCGTCGCGAGTGTCGCACCGTGTCGGGCCTTGGGATCCATAAAGCCACCCAGTGCGAAATCCGCCAGGGCCTCCACGTTCCTGGAGCTTGAACGACGAACGCGCGGACAGCGGGGCGGGGCAGAGGAGTGGAGTTCCGGAAGCGTGGCACGCCTTGCACCACGGTAGCCATAGCGCTTGCCAGATGCCACAAGGACCAATGTGGGAAAGCCTCATCCAACAATTCACGAGTCAAGGAAGAAGTTTGTAACGTCACAAGGTCACAAGACACATGTATCAGGATAGGGGAGCAACAGAGTGTCAACGCCCAAAATAGAAGTAACAAAGGAAACCAAAGGCTTTGCTTGACTTGTCATTGTTATGGGGGCCTGTCATTCTGCCGGATTTTGGAAATTCCAGACGGCCTGTCACATCGAATTCGTTCGCAAGACCTTCCTGAGTTCGCACACAGAGGCACAAGTGATCATGAGCGATCTGCAATGTGGCAACATGCAAACCTGCAAACACGTGGCACACGCCAAGCTAGCAAGAAAAAGTCAAGGCCCCCAACCTCTGATGTTGCGTCAACCTTTGCAACGGCTATCTGACCTGCACATTCAGCGAGCGAAAGATGGGCAGACTGTCTGACTGTGTCTTGAAAGAAATGAAGTCCCAGAGAGGATCCGTTTTAGCACCGAGACAGTCTGCGTAGTATTAGTTAGATTGGTGGAAGCAAGAGGTCGCCCAAGTGAAGCGGATGTTCCGCCCGCTTCGCGTTGCCAGTCAGTCGTTGCCAGTTGGACATCATCCGCCGTCTCTTCGCCTCGAAGCTTCTGGGCCAGCTGCTCCCACACCGGTACCAGCCGCTTGCAATGTCCACACCAGGGAGCATAGAAGGCCACCTCAAGGGACTGCGACTGACCGAGCGGAGGAATTCCAACCACAGCTCCCTTGAAGAACGATAGAAGAGAGTTGGACAAACTCTCACGGAAGGGCCGGGTCGTTGGGGATTCGCAGCTGGGTATGCACGGTCATGATCAGTTCGTGTGCCGCACCGGAATCCTAGCCACCGATCCACCGTCCACCGTGCCATCCGATGGCACCGCGCCACTCAGGAACCCTGACGAACCATGGATGTTCCAGCCCATCGCCTCAGCGATGCGGAGGGTCGATGCGGAGGTCGGGCTTGGCACGGAGGCGGCTGACTTGGTGAGAGTAGCTGTGACTTGATGTGGCCAAGGAGCGGAGACTGCTGGAGAAGTTGCCTTAGAGTCTCGGATACCAGTGCTGCAATTAGAGCGAGAGTTAGAGAGTTAGAGGAAAAAAAAAGGAAGGAAGGAAGGAAGAAAGAAAGAAAGGAACTAAGAAAGAAAGAAAGAAATGAACTAAGAAAGAAAGAAAGAAAGCTGTTCGGTTGGAATGCGAATCTCATCGAATCTCTTCAAATGTCTTCAACCAAAATGTTTCGACATTGCACCATGCAGGCGCAATGTCAGACGCCAGAACTTGGATCACGTGACTCACGACACCGAACACCGAGAAACGCTTGGGACATATGTCAAGTCTCGTAACAAGTGCATTACTAGTAGGTAACAAGGACGCTACTAGTAGCTTCTTGGGCACTTCGCCACCTCACTTCACCTTCAGTCCACCTTTTGGCATGCCTGGCCTCTTACTTCGTGGAGACCTGGTGGATACGCCACACAGCCAGCCAGCTAGTGCCCGGTGCCAGGGGATCGATCGGCATCCGAGGCTCCTTCGGTGAGTTCGTGGACGACTCCAGCCGCAAAATCCTCCGTCTCATCCGTCCGGAGCGGAACGGTGTGGAACCTCAGCCGAACTGCAGCAGCACTGCAGTGGAACTTCTGCAGAGAGAACAATGTGACGATCGGCAACAAGGAAGCTAAAGGCAATTATATGCTTTAACTGTTCGAAGCACGGCCCCCAAATGAACAATGTAACAATGACTCACACGAAGAACAAACCACTTCGTCGAAACTCTTCAAAACCGAAGGTCGATCACTACAGTGAACTTGATCTCCTGGGTGGGCCGGCTTGCTCTAACCGCCCTTTGACCGAAACCGGCCCTCGCTGCAGTCCAGCCAGCAGAAACAACAGCGCAACCCAGCCAGCGACGGAGCCCATTCTTTGGCAGCACATCTGGCTGCAAAGGAGCGTCGCCCGGGTGGAATGTTCGCAGAACGTTTGGATTGGTTGGATCTGCTGGGTCCAACAATTCCATATGTTGTTTGATAGATGTGTTAGTTGAAAGTGGATTTGAATACAGGGACCTAAAATAACAGGAGAACTGAAACATTTCATCGACACTGAACCCTTCAGTCTCTTGCTCTTTTCGATCTTCTCGTGGGAGTTTTTGTCATGTCTCATGCTTTTGAAGCTCTTTGCAAGAAGCCAGAACAGCCATTTTCTGCCGACCGTGCGTGCTCAAACCGTGCTGCACCTGCACACAACTGTTCATCACTCACGGGACACGGTAAAGAGCGCCGGGCAGATCGCCCAGAGAGAGTGAAGAGGTTCATCTTGGCTGAAACCTCCAGCTGTGACACATCCTGCATCGCAAAGTGCTGTCCAAAACGATCATTCGAAGAAGAAGAAGAAGAAGAAGAAGCAAAAGCAGAAGCAGAAGCAGGAAGAAGGAGAAGGAGAAGAAAACAGAAAACAATCTATATAAACAAATGTGTGATTATCATTGTGGGTCCTTGACCCTAACGCAGAACCCGAAATCCTCCCCACGTCCTTGCCGTGGACGGTCCAGCCATGGGTCTCAGAGTTGTGTGACAGGTTTTTTCTCAAAAGAGGGAATGGCCAAGGAATATCACATGATGACTCATGATCTCTGTTGATCTCTGCTGATCATGAGTGTTTTTTCATGTTTTTGTCTCTGGTGATGGAACTTCTAAGCTCATCTCTGCTTATCTCTGCTCTCTACAATTGATCATTACAAAAAGCAAGCTGCTGCTGTTGGGTGCGTAGTGCTGTCAGTGGTCTGCCCATCTCTCCTAGCAGCTCCTAGCAAAGCATATCAGCCCAAAGCAAACACGTTTAATATGTCCAATACCTGTTCACCTAACAGAGCTTGTCTTTTCCATTTATTGCGTCACCTTGGGGAAAGACCACCCGCATGCTGACCTGTGAGTCGTCTCTTTCATGTCTCAAAAGAGCATCCACAACAGCAGGTGAGAACATCTGCACGGGATGCTGGAAGGCCCTTCATCTTCACTTGGTTTGCAAGTTCGTGTCTTGTGAGGCTGACTCTTTTCCTCTGCTCGTGGGGCGCTGAGGGCAAGCTAGTGCTAGGTGCTAGCTGCTAGCTATAAAGCTGTGTCAATTTTCTTCATCAGAGAACTCGATTCCATCATCCATCTTCTGCCTGGCACAACCGGGTCGTCCCCTCAGCGGTATATGTCCCCTCAACCAGCGGCCACGAGCTCTCACACGAGTCACGAGTAGGCGGCAGGCGCATCGTCTCACACGAGATGACAGGCGACATTCACGTGGAGAAACGACGTGGCGAGGTACCACATCCCCTCATTGGCACTCTGTAGTCTTCTGGACAAGGCCTCCTGCAGAGTTTCACGCACCGCACCGCACCGCGCACGAACGAACCGCACCATCCATGTTTCATGGCTCATCAGGGGAAGTTCTGCAGAGAACGTGTCATCCGGAATGTCATCGGGTCATCGAGTTATCGACCCCTTCCCCAAGTCATCCAGCCGGGCCCGGGCCCAAGAGAGATCACCTCACCTCCCCAGGGGTTCAGCCTGTTGTTCTGGAAGCCCCCCAAAACACTGTCAGTCATCCACTCCTCTCTTTGTGTATAACCCAAAAATGCGAAACACGGGTCGCGCCAGAAGCTTGCCCCCCCCCAAAACCAGAACAAAACAATAAAAGAACACAACGGTCCAACACACACGGTCTTCTGAAGCACCGAAACCGCCGTCCTGAAAGGCGGAGATGCGACACTTGTGCACGTCCAGCCTCGGCGAGACCGAGAGACGGAAGAGGATGGAGCCTCGTTCGGAAGCCGAAAAAAGCCTGAGACGAACGCCACGTGCTTTTTTGGTTTTGATGGGCTTCGGTCGGGCTTTTGGCGGAAAAAACAACCTGTCCAAAACCCATCAAAAAGCGCATGGGATAGGTGTGCAAATCTGTTTGTTATCTTGTGTCTGGCTTCAGCTTGGTGTTCTGAGCTCGGCGCTTCGAGGACGGCGCTAAGAGCCCGGACGACTGAATGGTGGCCACATATCTCTGCGCGCTCGCCTCCTGCAGAGCGGTGGGCGACGGCAGAGCGGTTGTGGCGATCCGCGTCGCTTGTGGCGCCCATCGAAGGATGGGACGGGAAGGATATGGACCGTGAACGGCAAAGATCTGACCCCAATCCAAGGAGTCCACTACCCTGGGAGTCCAGTTGACCATGAAAGCAATGCCCACAATATGCCTACGCAAGGTGCCTACGTAGCATCTTGCAGCTCAACTGCCCTTATTTTGCGGTCAAAATCCATCACTAAACCTACCACTCCCCACCTACTCCACTAAATGTCTTCGAGTTTCCTACCACTCCCAGCCCGCTCCTCCCCCCCTTCCCTTCCTCTCTCCTCGACCACCTGTCGCAGCCGGTCCTCTGGAGCGGACTCAAAGCGGATCAGCATGTTGGCCTCGTGACCGGACGCTCGCTCCGCGTGATGCGCACCTCGCGCGAGTCCACAGCCGGAAGGCCGGGAGACGGCCGGGAGACTCACCTCGTCTGGAGACGGCCACACCGGGCCGGCGGGGTCAATGGCTCCGGAATGGAAGGGTTCGGTCCACAGATCCAGAGTGTCACGTTGTGTGTGATGGTTTGATTGGGAGGGAAAGAAACGAGATCCAAGGACCTCTGGACCAAATGGAGAATATATAGATCATATTTCGGGGGAGATGGTCTTGTACCAGATGTACCAGAGCCTCTTGCTCTGTCGTTGAGGGGGTTCTAAGTTGCAAGGCTCCAGCTTTGACCCTCTACCGGACCAAGGTCCATCTTCTCACAGACACCTCACTAGTTCCATTTGGTCTTCCAATCTACGCCAAGATCCGAAAAGAGACCCGAAAAAAACACATCATCCAAACATCTCAAAACGGAATCTCCTGAGACAAAGCTCCCGAGGACGGTGCTTAAATCCAAGCTCCAAGTCAAGTCACCGACTGGGCCGACTTGCCCGACCCCGGAAGAGTAGCATTTCGATCCGCCCTCCCATCCCGGAGATCCTGTGCTTCTACGGTGCAATGCTTTCCGGTCCGGGCTCCGAGGGTCTCGGTCGAGCCCGCCTCAGGATTGTTCGCAGCCCTCATGATCTCATCCTCGAAGGTGTCGAAGAAGGACAAGAAGAATTGAAACCTGAGGAGAAAACGTCGACATGTCATCTCAACATCCATTGAAACATGTTACATGGTGAGCGCTGTCGGACTTGAAAGGTTGAAGATTGAATTGTGTGAGGCATGGTGACCGCGTTCTGAGTGTTCCTCTGTATCAGCCAAGGGGCAAGTAGCTATTCCCATGCTGAAAGAACCTGTCCTGGCACCCAGGCTGTAGGGCACTGGATGATGCCGGATCGAGCAGCAAAAAGTTGGGCACAAACATGGCAGAGGTACTAAGAAGTCAAACAGGATGCTGTATGGAAGGTGGTGTATGCAGATCCTGGGTCGCGCTTGGTAAAAGGTCATCATTTACAGAAATTCTTGAGAAGAAACAACACGTGTTGCGTCCTTTCGCATCAAAAAGCACAACCTGGGAGTTGGGCCCAGCAAACCACTTCTGCACAAAGGTCTCAGGGAGAAGTCCAAGCTCCTCTTTGAACCAAAAGGACCCGTCTCAGCCCCGTGCACGACTCTCAGCCAGCCCCGGGGGCAAGTGCAAGTGCTGGACGAGCCGTGTCGAGCCGAGCCGTGTCGACTCCTTGAGCCGCGCCCGCAGATGTGGCTTCAGCAAGCCCTCGCACACATAGCCATCCACCGCACAGGCCGTGGCCTGACCGCGGATGCTAGGGCGAGCCGCACAGCTTTTCGATCGGATCCAAGGGTGATTCGATGAATCAGAGCCGCACATGTTCGTCATGCTATTTCGTGGAGCCATGACAATCAAGGCATAAGTGGAAGAAGTGGGGTTCCATATGAAGGGGCAATGGTGAAGTTCACAGCCATCTGCCTCACCCCGCCAATAGCCAGGGAGGTACTTCGGGCTGTCGTTCAACACGGTCAAGACCTGAGAATAACATGCACATTGCTTGTCCCATGGCTTCCAAGACAATTGCCTTTTTTCTGGGCCATTACAAGGGCATCGCTACCAGTAACAAGTGCATCGCTACTAGTAGCTTCTTGTTACTGGTAGTAATGCCCTTGTTACTAGTAGCGATGCACTTGCTACTAAATCTGGTTTGGTCTTTCGGTGCTTTCCAAGAACATGGGCACTCCATCCAAAGAATCCAAACTCGCTTGCAAAGTCGCGACGGCGACTCCGCACTCCATCCTGCCTTGAAGCAAGTCGCTGGGTCAAAGAAGAGCAGAAGAAGACCTGCCACATACCTGGCTGACTGAACGCTTGTTCAGGTCTGACCTATTCCACCCAAATGTGCCACGTTTCCTTGAAGCACCTCACAGGGGTTCTGAGTGAAAGGAGGTGAAACTCCACACTCAGCACAAGACACTCACAAGACACTCACAAAACAACGCGAGAGGAGACCCTGACGGTCAAGCCCACATCCAAATTCGGAGGACACCCGAGAGAAGATGGTCCCTGACGGTCCTTTATGAAGCCGGGGCACCCCAGTGACTGCTGGTAGTCGCCGAACTTCTGCTGCTGAGCGATGCGATAAAGAGGCCAAAGGGAAGAAATGAGTTGAACTGAGTGCTGTGAACTCCTGTCGTCTCAAAAACTATTATACTGATTGAATCTGTGTGGTCCTGCTGTGTCCTATGGCCTACAACATAACTGCATCATTCCTGATTTGAGGTGCAGGGTGGCAACCTACAGTTTCCGGGAACATCAACGATTGAAGAGACAGATTAAAACCTCAATGCATCCAAACACCAACTGCGTGTGCACGCGCTACGGTTTATCAAAGCAGCATCACCAGCATATTCTAACCTCCCACTGTGTGTACCGTACTCCTTCCCAGGCATCATCTGGGAGCACTTCAAGCATGTTCATCCTTTTGATTGATGATCGATGTCTCACTGTTTCACTCGCTTAATTTGGTTTCCCTGCCACTTCAATGATTGCTTTTCCTTGACAACGATACCTTCAGCTGTTTGTATTTGCAAGCAAATATGCTGGTGATGCTGCTTTGGTAAACTATCGAAGCAGCATCACCAGCATAATTGTTTGCTAAAACAAACAGCTTAAACCGTAGGTTGACAACCTACAGCCTATCAAGAACATCAACGATTGAAGGGACAGGTTGAAACCCCAATGCCTCCTAACGTGTGTACACCTTCCAAGGGCCTCATTCTGCAAGCACGTCAAGCATGTTCATCCTTTTGATTGATGGATGTCTCATTGTTTCACTCACCTTCAGTTGCACAGTGGTGCTGGCGGTTTCCTGAAGCTACAGTTTATCAAAGCAACAAAACAGCTCAAACCGTAGGTTGGCACCTACTGCCTGTCAGAAAAAAAACAAAACACTTGATGTTGTGTGCAAGGAATATCAATCATTGAAGTGGCAGGGTTGAAACCCCAATACCTCCTACCACTACCATCAACTTCGGCACACCTTCCGGGGGTGTCATGTGGCAGCACTTCAAGCATGTTCATCCGTTTGATTGATGATCGATGTCTCATTGCTTCACTCACCTTAAATTGCACTGTGGTGCTGGTGATGGTTTCCTGAAGCTACTGCTTATCGAAGCAGCATCACCAGCACGATTGCTTGCGAACACGAACAACCTATCGGAAATGCATAGATGTTGTTGTTTCCTGAAGCTACATTTTATCCAAGCAGCATCACCAGCATAATTGCTTATGTACATAAACAACTTAAACCGTAGGTTGGCAACCTACAGCCTATCACGAAAGCATAATTAGCAACATTGTCCGGGAACATAAAAAATGAACATCAACCATTGCAGCGGCAGGTTGAAAACCTTTTGGCTGTGCCGCGAGCTCTTCAATGGTTTTCCTTTGCATCATTGCATCATAGGTTCATTGTTTCATTCACATTCTGTTGCCATATATATTGTATTCGTGAGGCCTTCCTCAAGGTTTCCATTTTCATGTTCCTGGATATCATTCTACGATTTATCAAAGCAGCATCACCAGCATATTTGGTCTGGAACATGTATCGCTGGCGTACCCAAGCACTTCGGCCTCTGTGCACCCAAGCACTTGGTCCATTTTACATGTCGCTTCCACCTTCGGCCATGGTTGGTACCTCTTCGCCTATTGTATTTGAATGTGAGCAACAGCCCTGTTTCATCACCACTTGATCCACCTACGAAGTTTGGGGACACACAGTTTGACAGCACACGATCTGCAGCAGATGATATGCTGGACGGAAAGCAGCTGAGATGCTCGCTGAGAACGAGAGCAGCTTGATACAAACAAGCCTGTTGGGCCTGAGCATCAAGTTCATGTCCAGTCTCCACCAGTTTGACATCCATGGGTCCAGCACAGGTAATCATGTAAAGACAAACATGCCATCATCGAAACTGAAAACCTCTTGACAAATGCCATGGTCACCAAGCAAAACCATCCAAAAGCGCCACGTGCCGTCACCCAATCACCACGCGAACCACCACCCCGAACCGCGCTCCGCGTCGCTCCGCGTCGCTCCGCGTCGGTCCGCGGCACGGTGACGGCGTCGGTTGGCTTCGGCGCCGCACTCGCTCCGGAAGGTCCGGTTGGCGTCCGCGCGAAAGATCCGGGCACCCTCCTGAAACGGAGACACGAAGAACGGTGGAGGAACGAGACAGAGAACAGGGCGAGAGAGAGGAAGAGGACGAGGAAGAGGAAGAGAGAGAGAGAGAGGACACGGGAATGTCTCTGACGCGGAGAGATGAGAGAGATGTGTGTTGGATGAATCAAAAGTGCTGGGAGAACACGCTGGAGCATGGTGATGAGGAGTGGGATGTTCACCCTGATTTCCCTGCACCCCCGCGCTCCGATGAGAGCGGCTTGGTGTCAGCGTCCTTAGAGTGAGATCGGTGACGGGACATCTGGGTGACAGGGTAGGGAGAAGCAGAGTGCATCGAGTTCTTCATGCACTTCAACCCCAAAAAGCCTCTCGTAAAGCAGCCCATTCCAACCTCCAGCAGGTCCTCTAGTCAGTGTGAGCCATTGGGTTCAAGCTCTGATGCTACGGGAAAGGACAGTCTGATGATATCTACTGACTCCACCGACCATCCATATTCCCGCTCTGTCCCGGCACCAGAGTATAAGACTCTGTCTTCTTTTTCTGCAACAGCAAGACGATTCATGTTCTAAGAAACATCAAATGGCCTGTCAACAGTTCGACGATTCATGTTGGCTTTTCCCTCCATTCCTCGCTCCGTCTGTCGTCATGTATCATTAGGTGGTTTCGTTGATGATAGTCTCTGTTTCCGTTCTGTAAGGATGGGTCCAAACTGATCAAGGATAGTCTCTGTTTTGACTCAAAAGGGAGACCAAAGGAGTTCCGCATTTTGGGGGGTGGATGGGGAAGCCATCACCCCTTCGCCATGGGGAGAAGCAGGATACGACTCTTAGGCCGGGACCACCCGACTTGGTTCAACGCCCACGTGCGGCAACCAGGCATTTGCTCTGGCAATGGCCTGCGCACAGCGTGCGCGAGCGCATCTGATTTCTCCGAGAAAAAAACACACACATTGAAAAACAATCATAGAGGTTGCCCTCCACCTTTGATAGCAGGTGGTTGGTGATTTGCAGTAGTAGGACAAGGGCACCGCAGTTGGTTGGGGAGCAGCAATCCAACCAACATGCACTACCCTGTGGCCTCATCCGTGTGGCTCGCCAGCCAGCCAAAATCGAACCTGAGGCGATGGCCGGAAAAGGGTCCGTGCAGTCGCCCTTCGCTTGACTCACATGATGTCAGGTCCACGCGAGACATGAGCTGAGCACCCCTTCCTCTTGCCCTCCGTACTGCGCGTTTCGTCTTTCATCAATGAGCGGATGTCACGTGATGTCACCGTGATGCCCGAGGATGCGCACTGGAGACATGACACCAGCACCGGACTGAGCCTTTCCAACCGAGTGTCTCACTTGAGGATGGGCGCATCGCCTGGAGAGAACCCGACATAGCAAGTTGTGTGAAGGGGTGAAGTTTCATGAAGTCCACACCGAAAAGGAAGAAGAACGTGTCTTGTTTTCTGTCTTGCATGAAGTCCACGAAAAGCACCAGGATCATCCGACTTCTCGGCTCACATATCTTTACCTTTGCTGAAGCTGCCTTCCTCTTGCCAAAAGCTGGGCTGAGATAGGAAGCCCGTGCAGCGAGACCTGGGAGATGGGGAAGCTGCGGACCGTGCGGAGCTGCGGAACGCGCCGAACAGCTCGCCGCAGCTCAGAAAGAAGTCTGCTTAAGAAGTGAAGTTTGTGAGGGGGAACGGGGAATTGAATGTTCATGATGTTTCATGTTCCAAAGAGTCCTCTCCTTAAGATCTATAGAAGTCCTCCGAATCCATGACTCATATCACATGTTCCTCTTCATTCGAACTTGGATGTCCAGGGGATGGCACTCCAAATCTTGGAGACTCGACGGGTGAACTGCGACTGGTGAACTGGGACCTTTTGAGTGTCTGGGACCCAAATCCTTCGGCAAACAGTCCAGGGACCTTCAGAAAAGAATCTTTGATTTAGGAACAAGAGTGGACCTACAAAAAGCGCAGCTGCGACCCTTCTTGCAGAAGACTCTTGATTGCAGAAGACTCTTTGGAAGTTCAAGTTCCAAGGAAACACCATCCCCCCAACTTGAAACTCCATCATTATTACATCTCTAAGACTGGCCTCCAACAACTGGGTGTCTCTAACAACTGCCCATTGCTTGGAGAGTCTCCCTATTCCAATACAACAAAGAATGACTAATAATACTATATAATTCATGACAATAAGGTTTAAACAACATAAACTATTAAACTGACATGTATACTACTGTAATGATATTTGTTCTACAAACAAATACAGTAAACCAATCGACTTCTCGTCAACATTGCGATCCAAGACATCTCCCTCCACGACAGGCCCCCCAGCGACATGCCGCGGGACGCGGCCGCCCGCGGGACGCGACGCGTTCCGGTTCGGGGGGAGAACACTCCGTTGGCTTGACCCGGTCCTGGCCGTGCATTCCAGGTTTTTCTAGAACTGAACTGTGAAAGGACAACTGAACTGCGAGGTCAGCCCATCACACGGCAAAACGCGTCATGGAAGATGTCTTTGAGGTATCTTTCTTTCTTTCAGTCCCCTCTCGTCCATGAAAATGGTGACACATGGAGCCAAACAGCTTAGGCCGAAACGCCAAGCTGCATGCAGAGCTCTGTGCAGATGACGGCGGAAACACGAGCAATGGACGAGAGAAAGACGAGGACACCGGATCTGAGTGATTGCGAGTGTGTAGTAGAATAGGGAGACCGCAGAGCCACTGGTCTTGGTCTATCCTTCTTTTTCCTAAGGTATTTTGGGTGGGTCTCCCTGTCTCAATGCAAACCCATGTTGCAATAACCGCCAATACAATCAAGATGTGCAGAACATTGGAAGATTTTGGAAGCCTTCGCTTTCTCGCAAACTACCCCTTCGAAGAGAATGAGAGCTAATGAGAACTAAAAATCCATACCAGGCTGCCGAGCGTTTTCTGGGATTGCCAAAAACATTTGGGGTCCAGGCTCGCATGGAAGCTGGGCTTCATCCTTTGGACTTGAAGAATCCCGTGGCATCGCCACCGAAAACGCCGTGGCATCGCCTCCAACCATCGGCCTTCGGCCTTCAAACTAGGCTGTTCAGGGCGCCAAAATCCACGCCTCTTGGGAGGACTCAGCTGTTCATGCGAAATAAAAGGATGCGAACCAAGACTTTTTGGGACAAATGAGTACAAATCAAAGCCTTTGCTACAACATACTACAACTCTGTATCTATGCAACTCCTCTGGCTAGCAAAGATTTCTTTGGCCATTGCTTGCATCAACAGCTATTTCTTGCTTCTAGCAAGATGAGTCTGCAAGTTGTTGGAAGGTGTCCGGAGATTGCTCCTCGCTCCTCCTCTCCTCCCACTGGAAAAATGGTCTCGATCCACCTATGGAAGCTGGCAGTTTCACTGGCCAGCCTCGCTCTGCTCGTCTGAAGATGACGCACAGACCGAACATCCATGTGGACGGATGTAGATTTTGCAGGGTGGGCCAGCTTTTGTCGGAAAGAAGAACGAATTGATAACATGGTGAGTTTGCAGATTCCCTTTTTTGCCATGAAAGCAGCAATGCGATTTACTGAACAAGCTTACTGCCCAACTCCATATAGTCCAAAGTCAAAAAGCTCTGACTCTAGAATTTCTACGGCTCTCCACCAGCTTTCAGCACAGCTGCATCGCTGCATCCATTTAAATTCGCCTCGGCCAGTCTCAGCTTCGGTTGGACCCATAGATCCCAGAATGACGCGACGTCGCTCACGGACGTCAGCCCGGACATGGACGACGCCGAACGACTCGGTCTCCTTGAACGACTCCGTCTTCGCTCAACTTCGTGTGGTAAAACCTCAGCGCCGGACGCCACGACCGCGACGGCCGACGCGGAGGGTCAGAGCCAGGCCACCGAAACGGTTCCGCGGCGACCTCGCGAAACCGGGGCCGGGGATGGACACGGAGGGATTCGCTTGAGGCCATGAGAGAGTCCCTCCTGGTGGTTTGAGAGGTCCTGCCCTGCTGAAGCATTTCGAACAGCCCCAGTTCTGAGGAGTGCACGTCATGCAGGTCCACGTCGAGGCCAGCGAGTTCGACGACTTGGTCCATGTGGCGTGGGTCCACATCCCAAAGTCCCCACGAAGTGGGAACAGGATCATGTCATTCCAAAGAACCAAAGAACAAAAGAAAGAACACGGAACCAAAGAAAAACACAGATTCTGCATGATCATTCGGACTGTTCTGCATCAGAAAAGCTTGACAGTCATCAGTCGTGGTCACGACATGTCGCTGCGCTTAGAGCCGGCTTCCAAGGTCTCAGGGTCGAACCGAGGTCATCGTCTCATTGTAAGTGGTCCGGAACACATCTGTGGTCTCCTGCTCACGAGGCCGAATGCATGGCCATGGCGATGGAGCAGGTGTCGATGTGTCGAAAGGGAACATTTCGTTAGACAAAAACAAACGAAGAACCCAACGCATACAAAACCGTTCAAAACAAAGCGAACACAGTGTCAGTGGATGAAAAGGTGCTCATGAAATCGAAGCAAACACACAACTATACATGAGAAACAAAAGGAACATAAAACAGTGGCTTATATAGAAGAAAACACCCACCTGTTACAGTAAAGAGAGAATCATGAAACAAATGCAAACATCTGGGATTCGTGTCTCCTTATGAGCCCAGTCAACACCTCGAATGGAAGCGGTGTTGGGACCTGAGACAACTCACAGTGTCGCAAACGAAAGGGACAAGAACCTTGTTGGAACGGAGAACCGAGTTTGACTTTAGAAAACAGAAATTAAACAGAGGGGATGGTGACATATCTCTATGATTATCTACGTATCATTATGTATCATACTCAATGAGGAGACTGTAAAAACTGGCCATTGGATGTCTTCCTTCGCTCCCTCTTCGCTCCCACGTCCTTCCGTCAACGAGAACGACCGAACCTCGAGCCAAAACGAGGTCCAACACGGTGTTCGTCCCTGCGACCCGGTCGACCCGGTCCCTGGGCACACCGGACAATAGCCAGTCCCATGGCCCCAGCCATGGACTGTGAGATCCCTGCGACGCGCCGACGCGACACGCGACCACCGCGGCGTCGACCCGACCCCGACGTGTCGGATCCCGCGACGTCGCTCGGGTCTCTGGGTGTTTCATGGTGTTTCATGGGTCCCGCGGAGGTGTTTGGATTGGGAACGACGTGATGCGCCTGAAGGATTGGGCTGGAGCTTTGATCGCAGCTTCCGTGTGCGTGGCGCGCGTGGAGGAAATCGTGTCCTGCGCCAGCTTCCGTGTGGTGTGGCGAAAGGAATTGAGGACGACCCACACCACAGCGAGAACAAAGGGAGGACCCAAAGCGCAACACATGGGCAGCACATGGGAGACAGCATTTGGAGGTGTGTAGGTCTGAATGAAAGTGCAAGCTGCTTATCTTACGATGAAGTCACAACCCTCAAAACATCAGCAGACTCGACTTCATGTCGCTGGCAATCTACTTCATGTCATGAGTCCGAAGAGATGGTGTCCAAAGACCTTGAAAACGAGTGCGGGCGGCGCAGAACAAGGGCAGAAAACATGGAAACGAACATCCTTCTGCTGGTAGCGCCCGGCAGAGTAGTGTGGCGGCCAATATTGACCCCTCAGTGCGGCAGGTTGAGAGCAAACAGCTGATTGTTCAGAGGGCTACAAACCCAGTGTCGCAAAATTGAAGAAAAGCACAAGCTTTGCCTCCATGTTCTTCAGGGCAAACATGCATCTGTTGGACATTGAAAGAAACATAACAAGTAATACATACATGCTAGACTTAAGACAAAATAAGACAAGTAAGCGCTGGGGCCCTTGCCCTGGGCAAATACCACCAAGCCGACCAGCAAGAGGTCTAGGCCTTGGGCCAATGAATCGACATGAATCGACATCGACCAAAGCACCACATCGACGAGCGAAAGGACTGGGGGCGATTCTCTTCATAATATGCAGTTGTAAAAGGAAGACTAACAAGTCGTCCACATGAACGTGTGTGTGAACCATAGTAAACATACAATGAAACAAATCAATGAAACTATATACCAATTCTACAAATGTCTGCATCCACCTGCGCACGGTTTCATAGAAAGCAAAAATGGCGCTCGAGTTCGAGTTCGCCGCCCTGTTCACCTCATTGCTCCCCCCCCAAAACGGGTTCCCCGGACGAGTTCCCCGGGCACGAGGCCAGGAAGTCTTGATCGTCCTTCGCGAGGCGATGGCTCCTGCGGTGAGGTCGGAGACGTCGTTCTGAGAGGCGGGATGAGGCGGAAGTAGAGGTTCGGGACGAAGGGAGCCCATGGAGATGGAAGAGACTGGAGGCTATTTATAGTAGAGAGGTCCAGGTCTATATAGGTCAATTAGACAAAGTGTCGTGATGAGCGATACTGTGATACCTGCACTGGCTACAACATCACGAAGCTTCCGCAAATCCATGATTTTCAACACGTGTGTCACAAGCAAGTCGAAGAAGGTCTGGATAATTGATCATTTCCATCATTCTTACCACATCCTTGGAGCTTGTTTTAAACAAACGTCTGAAACACATCTACAGATGTATCAAAACATCATGACATATCCATACATCTCCACTCATAGCAGCCATTTGAATCAGCAACGACGACAATCTGTTTTCTTCGGCCAAGAGGCGTGTTCATGCAGGCGCTTCGTCCCGCGGTCATAAATGCCTCATTCGGCGCCGTTCCGGCGTCGCGGCGTTCCGGTGGCGTCGAAGCACCCGGGGAGGTAGGTGTCATGTTGCATGATGTGAAGTGACACATCGTAGATGGTCGATGGTTGGGATCCCCAACCGGTAAGTAAGCCCCCAATTGCCTGGCTGGTGAAAGAAGAGAAAGAAGAGGAAAGAAGAGGAAAGAAGTGAGAAGACGTCAAGAATGATCTAACTAGACTATATATTCATGGATTCCCGCTCATGTGGTTTGGTCTTGGTATTCCAGGTTGTTTCCAAGTGATTGCCACCCTTCACACACGGAATGCTTGAACCATGGCAAAGAGCTGGCCCTCCGCCCTCTGTTTCGATGATCGACTTCAGAATTCGCTCCGTGCGAAAAGGTCAGACCTCCATGCGTCCATGGATGTCCATCCAAACGCGTCGTGGATCGGTCAAACAATCCGAATCCCCAACTCCCAGGGAGTTCAACACTCGCCGACAACGTCTCCTGGTCTCTGGCTCCGTCCCCTCCGAAAACCGCCTGGACAAAAACACCAAGGACGTCTCTGCGCATGGATCGCGGAAATGGTTTTTGTGTTGGTGTTCGGAACATTGGCACCGGTTTTCCTCAACGCCATCCCTCCTGGGCCGAGACATAACGCCTCTCTCTCTCGCGTCCAGACACCCAAAGCATCCACCCTTCCTGAGCCGCCCCGGCAGACCCCGGCATCGGCACCTGGGCCAACCCCTTGAGGGTTCACCTCGGCGGAGGAAAGGCCCGGCGACCGGGAAAGCGGTCGAAGAAAGCCGCGAGGCGACCAGCTGGGAACCTTTTTGCGATACGTTTTGATGTTTGGAAGGAAGGACAATGGTCAAGTTCGAGAAAACAACAATACATTGATTTGAAGGGGCAACGATGAGATGTCATGAGATGTCAATGACTAAAGGTGTGGTTCATTCAGAAACATGAAGGATGACTTCTATCCCACACTGGAGCCTCCATCTATCCTGCAACATTCTGAGACTGGTGTGCTTTCTTTCCACCCGATGTCAGTGCCTGAAGTTTCTTCTGCGACACAAGGCCTTCCACATGAGAAAATCATCCCAACGGAACACGAACGGCCGGAATCCTTGCGTGCAAGTCTATGTCTGAACACTTCCAACAAAGGAAACGAAAGCGGGATCGAGGTAGAAAATGCTCACCCCTGGGCACTCTTGAAGAAAGACCTGCAAACTGCTGTAAAAAGGAACATGCATACGGCATCCTGCAGAATGACCCCTGGACTCCAACTCCCATCTCCACCAATCCGACCAGCCGAAAAAGCCCGCCCGCTTAAGCCGAAGCGCCAAAGGCACTAACGTCACTCCCGGCTCGTTCGAGTGTTTGAGCTCCCCAAATGGCCACGGCGAAGCTGCGTTCCGCGCTCCCCAAGGCGTGCACTGCCAAACGGCCACGTCCACAGCTCCCCGTTAGTGTTCCTTCCCTTGAAAAAAAATAAATAAAGAAACACAATGAAGTGAATCTGCCTACTATAGTTACTAGTCGAGTGCTTCAAGCATCTGAAACCACCTGTTGTCACACGGCGTTTTTCGGCATGAACGCTGCGTCCGGCATGAACGGCGCGTCAAACGCTCCCATAGCTTCTCACATCCACCTCAAGGCCCGCGGTGTCGCGGTGTCGTGACGACGTCATTCAGTTCAAGTCTCAGAAAGTCTCTGTGACGACGCCTGAACGTCTATACTTCCGAAAATTAGCGTGCTATAGGCTATAGCGTGCTGCAGTTGTTTTTTAATAGCTAGGACATCAGCTATACTGCAGGACGGTTGAGTTCTTTGCTTTGGTGATGCTTGGACTCTCTAAAAACCGCTGCGCACAGTTTGGCCCCGCCTGGCAAAGCAAGTGCTCTGCCAAGGGGAAGCTAGTGCCATCGCACGGCCTCGATTGGTGGTAACCGCCAGTGGTTTCGTTCGGAAAGCGTTTCACTTGTCTTCATATGCAATGTTCACCTACTATCACCTGACCTATGCTATCACCTAGTGTCACTACAGGCTAGCGGCTTACTATGGTGTTAAGATGCTGTAAGCCTTCTTGCGGGGCCAGAGTTTCTCTGCATTTCAGTCAGCAACTGCTTCGGAGATGCATTCGATGCTCAGGCCTGCAAGTGCAAGGCACGGGCAAAAGCCACCTGATGCTCAGGTCGAACAAAGGCGCCAACCAGCGAGCCAACTCAAACCATGGAAAACCCTCCCAAATCATCCCAAATCCTATGGAAGAAACAGAGAAAACACACCTGTTGATAAAGGATGCAAATCTTCTGTGAATCCAGGTTGTCTGTCAATTAGGTTTTGGGTACCCCTGCAAGCTGAGATAAACTGCTTTGCTTCTCTTCAGTCTTCGTTTGGCCAAAATCCATTTGACCCAAACCCCGGCATCTGACCTGACGTTGCACATCTACTCATCTACCCCCTCCTTTTTGGACGGCCTGGAAGCTGAGAACAAGAGGGGCTGAATCCTACCGGAGGCTTTCATGCCTTGAACCCATAGGGCCTATAGGCTTCTAAAGTGGTTTAGGGGTGCGACCCCAAGTCGAAGAATCCCATGCAGAATCCAAACAGGTCTTAGAAGACACGGGTGCCAAATAGAGTTCCAACAATGGAAACGGGTGCCAATAGATCTCCTTCTTCGCCCCGGTCTATCGATTTGGCTCGCGCATGCTCCGAGGTGCCGGAGGCCGGGAGCCCCAAGGAGCTGCGTGAGGTTCTCCAAGGAGGACTGCAGCATGTACCTCCGATGCAACGCTCTCCGCAACGACCGCAACGACCGGCTCCGCGCGCCGACGACGGCGGAGCATGAGCTTTCGTTCCCTGCAGCGAAGCGAAGGTGGCGAGGCAGCCACCCTCAACGGCCCAGGTTGGCGTCGGGACACGAAAAAGAGGGACGACCAGGCTAGGTGAGGGGGCCTTGGTTCGGTTCCTGTTTTCCGGGGCCTTGTTCCAGCCAGGAAGCAGTGTTCCATCGGCAGTGCAGGAAGCCCTGCTTAGGTACGCAAGATCAAGCTGTGCACCAGATCCAAATAGTTCCAACTTATATAATCCTTGCGATTCCCTTTGTCCTCCAAGCACTTGGATCACAGGTCCACCTTCCCATCACACATACTTGCAAAAGTCTGGCAAACGGTCCAACCACTCGGTTGCTGGAGCACGGATTTTCGCCGGAGAAGAAATCCTCAATGGTGGTGACGTTCCTGTCGCCCATGCGCTGATTCCACCAAACATTCACACATGATCTTACCTGTGGAGTTTGGAATCCTGTTTTAATGAAATAGCAGGAAGGTCATCCATTGTGGCTGTTGAAAAGTGAAGACCTGTTACACAAGGGCTTTATGTCAAACATCTCGATCAAAACCTGTTGCATATGTTGGCCCCAAACAAAGCATGCCTTCGGTTGTCCAATCCAACGCGTTGTCCAATCAAGCTCCCTATCACCTCCCATCACCTCCCAGTCACCGGTGGATTGGCCGGTGGCGCCTCATGGCGGAGTAGAGCGACATCGCAAACAAACAGCCTGGCCGTGGGACCGGGAGAAAGCCCAAAGTGACCGGTCCGGCTGCAAGCGACCGGCGGAATTGTCGCTACCGCTTGGACCTGGGAACGCCCTTGCTGAAAGACGGTGAGGGAAACATATGACCGGCTCTACAACGGAGCAGAAATGGGTTCAACCGGGTGAATCTTCCAAAGCTTGGCAACGGATGTACTGACTGATGCACCGGCCTGTCAGCAGGAAGAAGATCACGATTGAGATCGTCGCCACCATGAGCAAGATACTGGACACGATCGTCGCTCACATTCCATGCTTGCTCCACACTCGCTGAGCATTTAGTGAGCGAAAAAAAAAAAAAAAAAAAAAATCCAGGCGCCTGCTGGTGCTAATGTCTGGAGTACTCATCACATCTAGGATGCCTTTCTGGGTCCTTGGTTGCAGAAGTCGCTGCGCTGGCGCTCTTCAAACAGCCAGCCCAGAAAAAACTCCGCAAGAACCAATACTGAGAACCCTGCATACCCAATAAGAAGCACAAACAGGAGCAGAAAGACCACCTCACAACACGTCCGTTGCGGTGCATGCGGGACGGGCGCAGCTGTTCTCAGTGCTCCACGAGACGCGTCACCTCACGAGGAAGTGTCACTAGGTATCGCACCAGTTCAACAGAAGGAAGTACTTGTGGTTTCGCCAACCAACACCTGGCAAGTGGCACTTGCGGCTTTTGCATCTCCCAAATTTGCAGAAACCGAGCTTCCAGCAAGATCCAATCCAAGGGCAATGGTGGTCCTTACAAGATGGATCATCCAATCCATACATTGCCGTATGAACAATTAGATGATTGTGGCAAGATGTTGAGAGACCAAAAAGCAATCTGGTGTTGATGGACCTAATCCGACCCAATCCAGTTCGGGTGTTGACTAGTGACTAGTGTTGACCCAAGACGTTGCTTCCTTGAGAATATGCCCATGGAACAGCCATCTCAGATGCTGACCATTCGCAAGACACAGCAGCCACAAGCTGTGCAATGATGCGCTCCTGAGCAGTTTTTCTGGCGACATAGTGTGGTCACATGTGTGGTCTCTATGTGTGATCTCTCCATCCATCCTGACCGGTCCCAACGCTCCCCGTCCCACTCTCCCACGGATGAACCACGGCCCAGGTGCTTTCCGGGCGTTCCGTGCGGCAGCTCCGACACCAACTGGGCTTCCCAGGAGACCAGGTCCTTCGAGTATCAGGCTGGCCCTCCTGGTTCGGCAGGCGCGCGATTTGCCCCGAGTCCTCAAAGCCTCTACATACAGTCTGACAAACCATGGGCCCACCCTTGTGGCTTTGCTATCGCCTTTCTGAGAGAGACATCGAGGTATTTCTCGGGTAGAGGGCCTGCCCATAGACACTTAGAGGGTCACCTGATCAGGGGATGAAAGCCGCCTTTGAACTGAAGTCCGAGTGATGAAATGATCACTCCGACATCCTCCACGACCCCCGGACAGGTGCTGTACCGGAGGCCTCCTTGTCTAGGCCGAGCAAAGCATGGCACACCATAAACTCCGCAAGCCCATCACACAAGGGTCTGGGGGTGAACATGGGGCAACCATATCCCAAAAGTTCTGAAAAGATCAAGAACTGGAAGGAATATGTCAAAGAAGAACAGAAGATGCATCCTCTGCATCCTCCAAGACATAAACTATGGGTCATCCTAAATAGGAAACCACAACCACAACTCCTGAGTACTATAGCTCTATAAATAGCTCTATAAGCTCTGCAAGAATCTCCGCACCCATGTTTCATCTGCACCCCTCACCCAAGAATCTCACGCTCCATGCGCCTGCGCCTCTTCGGCCTCTTTCTGCCATTGCTCCACGGAGCGTCCACCTCGGCGAACCTTGGCCCAGTCGCGCCACTCGGCGCTGTGGGGCGTGCCGGGGTCGGTGAGCGAGGTCTGCAGGTAGCTCCACAGCGCCAGAAGCCACGTGAGGTTGAAGAGCAAGGCCCACGAGATCGAGGGCTTCAGCAGCCAATGATAGGCCAGATTACCAGAGATGTAAAGGCTCAAGACGATGCAAACGGTAAACCATGAAACACACCGGGTGGCCAGATCTTCAGAGTGCATAGAGCGAAAGAGAACGTCGTTCTCGACTGGTTCGATATCTCATGAAACACTGCAGGGCAACCAGTCACAGTTGCCTCTGCATGGAGCGACCGGAGAACAAGGACGGCGTCAAGTGCAATTGGAGGACTGAGCCACAGCTACTAAATCCACGTACAGTTTCGTTTCAGCAAGAGTGAGATAGGATGAAATGTAATTTGCACATCTGTCTGTGAGTCTGAGTCAATCTCACTCTGTATATTGTACACCCTGTGTGCTTTTTCCTTATTGTGGGGCAGAGAGAAAAAGAAAGTCTGACTGACTTGCCGTGACTCGATGAGCACTCTTATCATCCCATGACATCGATCGATAACACATTCTTTCCTTTTTGCCGCCGCACGCGCACCGAACGCGCGATCCGAACCGCATCTTCCACCGCATCGGAACCGCGTTCGGCGCAGGCGCGGCTGAAGGAACGCGCGTCCACCGCGTTCCGGCCTCTCTCCAGGCATCTATCCGTCCAAATCCGAAGGTCCGCATCTCAGTCTCAGCTGGTCCAACGGAAGGAGCGTTTGGTCTTTCCAGCGGTTCCATCCTCAGCGCGCGTTCATCCAAGACAGCCTGCTGTGGTGGCCATGGTTTCCAACTCCAAGACGGCCTGCTTCCAGCAGGAAGCACGTGCTTTCTCGGGTGCCAAACAAGCCATGTCGTCATTCTCCACACGATGACCGGCCGCAGTGATCCTTTCGGTCCAAAGCGCAACGCCCAAACTTGGCGTCGGGTTCTGGCCATCTTTGGCACGTCGTGTTTGACATCCAGTGGCCATCGGGAGCTGGCCATCCTCGTCGGATTCGATGGAATCTTCGACTCAGAACCTCCGACTCTCGATCCTCAGAAAAAGACTCTACTCATCAAGCTTCAAATGAAAAACATGACTTGGCGAACCAACGTCCAAGTGGCGGGGACTTGCTCTTGTTGTGCCATTTGGCAGCCTACATTTTCTTGAGGCAAGGATACATTTATCTACCTAACCGTCAGAATGGTTTATTAATGTTTAGTGATGTTTCGTGTCTGGTTTACTGTCGACGATTCTGGCTTTGACATGCTACTGAACCTTGGTACGTGTTATCCAACACGACCAATACGACTTGCTTCGTTGCTTCGTTCGCCGCCCTTACTTCACGGCCGTCATCTCACTTGCCAAGCAGCCGCCCATCGGCGCAGCCGGGATGGCAGCCGCGCAATCGGAACATAAGCGGAGTGGATGATTTCCTGTGGATGTGGAAGTCAAAACTCAAGGACCTACTGTTACTATATGTTATAAATTGAAAAAATAGAAAAAAAAACAAAACAACAAGATCTGCAGGTACAGTATGGACACCTGTAGAGAGACCTGTAGAGAGACCTGTAGACACCTGTAGACACCCACACTCTTCCGATTAAAGTTGGTAGAACAGACCCACAGTGCCCGTGTGCCTTGCTGAAATTCGCTGAACTCGCAGAGAGTGTTGACCAGGTCCCGGAGATGCAGACAGCAGCGCCGGGAGCAGCGCACTGAGGTGGTTGATGGACCTGCTAGATATAGAGGACGGACTCAGGACGCAAGTTCATGAACAAACTATATCTTATAGATCTTCTCACCCTTCACCATCGATCGCCATCGCTTCACCTTTGATTAGTGTGTGGTGCTCCGCCATCTTAGCCCCCTTCAGAGTTCGATCGGTGAGTCACAGAGCCCGATGGCTGGGAGTGGCTGGGTGCGACATCCAACTCCTCAGCTTCCAACTCCTGAAAACCATGGGCCATGGTTCCAGCCCAAAAGAACAAAATGACCAGGACGACCAGAAGAACATATGATTATCATTAATTCTCGATGTGGTTCCCAAACGCAACAGCAACTGCAAGCGCTGTTAACGACAACAAGAAACCTTACGTAAGATTTGGAGAACACTTGTTCACCCTTCGACGGGCGCATGGTCACACGTTCCGCTGTTGTTCCACGTTCCGCTGCTCCTGATCCTCCATGTTGGCCGCGTTCACCGTCATCTCCTGCACCAGTTCCAGGCGCCGAACCAAAAGTGGGCCATAGGCCTCGAAGGGATCACGCCGAACAAAGACATGTCTCAGGAGAATGAAGACATTCATGCTTGGAGAAAAAGAACTGGTACATGGTCATCCATCAACCATAATCAACCAATTCCAGGCAATGATCAGCAGAAATCAAACTCGATAGTAGAAGACAAGCTAGAAGCATGGTCATCAATGAGTCGTCAATGGTTATCAATGAGTCATCAATGACTTAATGAGTTGTCAATGGTCAACGGTCTTCACTGGTCATCAGTTGAGACCAGTGCTTTGTTGCTGAGTCTTCATCAACAAGCTTTAGACCAAAAATGGTGCAGCATCCCCACATCTTCTGCCCGATAGAGAGAGAGAGAGAGAGTGAGAGAGTGAGAGAGTGAGAGAGTGAGTGAGTGAGTGAGTGAGCGAGCGAGTGAGTGAGGGAGTGAGTGAGCGAGCGAGTGAGGGAGTGAGGGAGTCAGTGAGGGTGAGAGTGAGAGTGAGAGTGAGAGTGAGAGTGAGAGTGAGAGTGAGCGAGTGAGCGAGTGAGAGTGAGAGTGAGAGGGAGTGAGTGAGTGAGGGAGTGAGTGAGTGAGTGAGTGAGTGAGGGAGTGAGCGAGTGAGTGAGGGAGTGAGCGAGTGAGGGAGTGAGTGAGCGAGTGAGGGAGTGAGTGAGTCAGAGAGAGGAGAGGCTCAAACCCTCCGACGGCGACGTGGCGACTGCAAAAAACCGCTGTTTGCGCATGGCAAGTTCCAGCACCCCAACCCACCCACGCGGTCGCTCCCATGCGGTCGCCCGTTACGGCACCCGGATGCTGTCGTTCAGCGCGTGCTCGGCCATGGCCGCGAAGACCCGGTCCTTGCCGCCCAGCGAATCTCATGGGAATGAATATAGATAGCTTCTTGATTCTTGATGCTTCTTGTTACTAGTAGTAAGGATGCTCCTAGTAGCGATGCCAGGA